CTTGTTGCCRCCTGCTAAGGTGGATTTTTGTTTGATGTTTATATCTAACCCAATGGAACTTAGCTGTGAGTGACTCCTTTGAGTCCTCTGGGGACATCTGGTTATTTGTTAAACAACTAGCTGGGATTGCCAAGTTCCTTCCTTATAAGCCAGGAAGTTAATTAGTCACCACAGTTAGAGCAAGAGGGTGATGAGACATACTTGATATGAGTGAGAATGATTGTACTGAGAGACGGAGAACTTGACTATGGTAATACTTTCATTAAGTTCATGTTCTCATGCAGTGTAAACACCCTAGTTACAAWCAACCCTAGTGCCTTCCTTAAGTCTTCCTGCCCTTAGGAAATGCTGCTGCAGTTCAGGTTGGACTGAGGAGGCTGAAAGTAACTKCCATGGTAGTTTCAAAGACAGCAGATGGGATCACTGGCAGATACCAGTGAAAGACCGTGAAAGCTACTCCTGGTTTCATCACAGATGGCAGGCAATAAGCTAGACCCGAATGGTATTTTCAGTCATTGACCACCACCACAACTCTATATCAACTACTTTTTATGAWGTATCTTCTGTTGTATGTGACAGTAAAACCTTTTTGTAAGTAGAGTGTTACACCTTGGTTCGATGACAAGTGTTTCCAATATTTTAACTTAATGTATATCTATACACTTGTGTATATAGATGTATTTTATAGAGTGAACCCACATATGATATATTACGTATTTCGTTAGGATTGTCACTTTTCAGTAAGGTTGAAAATGGGGTGGTCATCTTTCAATAATGAAGGAAGATGCAGCCCTTGCCCACAAAACTTTTGATGAATATCTTCGACCATGTTAAGAAATTAAATTGTTTTCTACAGTTAGCTGGTCTTTATTCTTATCAAAACTGTGGGGCTTTCCAATGTCAGGACACTTGGTGGGTGGATACTTCTCAGAAGAAAAGAGGACTTATCAATGTTTGCTTAGGATCTATTGCATTCTCATAAAAGTAGTCATAAAAGTAGCTATGCTGTCTATGGCACTCATAAATCTTCACCTAGTCAAGGCTACTGTCTCTTTCGTCATACAAGGTAGTGTTTTAAAAAACTGAGCATACATGTTTTTCATCTAAAATGAATATAAAGTAATTATAAYCTCAAAACACCTAACTTCTTCACTGACAGTTGTGAAAAGCGATACCATAATTCAGTTTGCAAAATCATCTGATTGCTTATTAGTGCTGCTACTAAAATCTCTTTACCCTTGCAAGGGTATATTCACAGGCACATTTTCACCAGAGGGCACTGTTACACACACTCTAACAGATAATTTTCTTCTGGTGAAAGTAATGTCTGGTCTTGCAAAAAATGGTGTGTTGGTGTTAGATTTTGGTGCTCACTTTTCGTAGGGGAGTTCTTGCTAATAAGGTAGTTTAAACTGGTTTAGTTTCTTAGTTAAATTGCATTTTTCCTCTTGAGAAGTGGCCATTKCTTCCAAAGATAGCATTTGTGAAGAGGGTCCATCTTTATGCGTGCGAATTAACCACATTATTTCAAACTCCATGCAATTTATAAAAGCTGATTGTATACAGCCCTGAATCTTTAGATTTACACTGAAAGGTAAATCTACTGGCCAGAAGGGCAAAGACATTTACCTTTCCTATGGATTTTTGTTGAAGAGGATGGACTGGAAATACCAAGAAAACTGGTTATTTAGCTTTAGATAATTGTTATATTTTCTGCTTATTAATAAAAACTATATATTCAGGCAATATGATTACACAAAGGATCTCTGCATATATGCAGTTACAAATCTGTATTTCTACTAAGTGAGTGAAGATAATTGAGAAAACGAAAYGGTAAAGTTTATGCTTCAATCCATATTTTGTTGTGGAAATAATCTAGTTTTGCCGGATCTCTTAATACAAACATTACTCCAATATCTTTTTTTCCTCATTATCTGTCACCTGAATTTTTATTTATATTTTTAACAGGAAAAGGTGTTTCAACTTCCCTAGGATTTTTTTTGGCTTTTGCATGAGTATTTTTACTTCACTTTGCTTTAGTATTTTCCATACCACACCAAAACACCAAAATTAAATAATAGACTCCATATAAAAATGAATCTTCCACAGCAAATGAATACTGACATTTTTTAATGATCAGCTACATTTCTATTGGATGTACTCCAGCATCTGTTGTTTGTAAGCTTGTGTGGCTGTTTGATCATAGAGCAGATTTTTTGTTTTTTAATTTTTTCATTTAGGTGAGTCCATTATCACTGGTCTGTTTAACAGGGGCTGCAGCTGGTGAGCTGCGATTGAGAGCCTAAGGTAGCTGGAGGTCATTTGTGGTGACCAGCACTAAGGTGATTTCCTGTGGTGACACAGCAGCCATCTGAAGGGTGGTGGGAACCAGGAACCAGAATTATTCTTGCTCTATTTTAAATGCTTTTTGTCTCAACTGTTCAACTTTTCCCCACTAAGTTCTTGCACATATTACTAGTAATGCTAGCATTACTTTCATGCTGTTCACAGGTAGGAAGGTTTTTGAAGGTATTAATATTTCAACTATCTTGTTACAGTTCATATTTACTAATCTGTGTCACTGGTCTGTCTGTCACAGTGTATCAATGGAGCATGGAAAATGGTAAATACTCTGCCATTTTAAAATTATTTCTTATTTATTTTCTAAAAAGTGTTGCAGATAGTAACTACAGTCTGAGCTAAGTGAAAAAGAAAGTCTAATAAAAAGAGTTTTTGCAGCAASAGTGCACACTGCATTAGAATCACTGGGTGCAAGGATAGAGATATGTTATTGATGTACGTGTCCCTCAGTGAACATCCTYTTGGTGTGTGCTCTCTGTGTCCTGGTCTCTGATTGTCTTGCCTTGGGAGAGCAGCAAATACCACAGCTCCTCTCCTGCCAACAGGGTTAATGAGAGGGAAGCCTGGCTGCCAGTGCCCTTCCAGATCTCATCCCAATGCAATATGTAGCAAAGCTGGGGTATGTCATGCTCAGGACCTTTCAGTGCTTTCTGGTTGTGGTTTTAGACATTGTCACAGTATARTTAATGTTCCAAGAAGCYTTTGGCAAATTTCCTCAAAAAAGCACATAAAGAAACAAAGCTACCATGGGTTAAGATGGAAGATTTTTTCTGGATTAATGATTGATTAATAGAAAACAAAGGGCAGGGCTAGAATTAGGCTTAAAGGTAACTTTTGTACTGAAAGGAAATTCCTAACGAAGTCACCCRCAGACTTGTCCAGATAGACAGATATTCCTGGCACTTTTGTTGTGCAGTATATCCATCAGGACTCACTGAAAGGAATTGATTCATGAGGTTGCAAAGTTTGTTTTTGCTACAAACTGACTGCTGCAGGGTACATCTAATGTGTACCCACATCTCAGGTGGATTTGGTAACCCACTTAAAAAGTTGAAAGAGAGCTTGTAAAGATACCGTTTACACCTCACCTTAGTGTCAGTCAAGATGGCAGCCATCACAATGGTACTGGATAAGATTTTCTAACTATGTCAATTCTTCTGGTTGAGGAGCAGAGTACTAATGATCACTGACATTTTAGTTCTGTTCTCCACAAACTCTGCACTGGAAATCCTGGTAAAACAGATGTATGAAAGCAGTCAGACAACACTGCATTTGCAGGACTTCTAAGCATGTCACTTTCTTTTCTCTTAAGTGTTTTGTAAGGTCTGCTGATTTTCCTGCAAGCCCCTTTGATTATACTTGGTGAAGCCTTGATGCAGCATGCTTGAATTGTGAGATTTGCTAAAATAAGTCACAAATTWCATGAATTGTAGGCCATTATCTATGATTAACTCATCTAGAATTTCATGGCAAAGTAAGTGCTATGTATAATGTGTTTTCTCAATTGTTAGTGGCTGTCTTGTAGTATACCAGAATATGGCTGATAGTAAAGTCACGTGCAGTTTAGATACATGGAAACCAGTTTTTTTTGAAAAATGGTTTTAACTAATAGCTGCTAATATTTAAAACTATTTAAGTTTTTTCAATCAATTTGGAGGTATTTAAATTAGAATTTTTGATGCATCTATTTCTAGCAAATAGAAACTCTTAATATCATACTAGAGAACACGTAGGACTAAGGGTCAGATTTTCATGCATCAAAAGTTGCAATTATGTRTCTATTGAAATACATTTTATGTACCTTATGTGTGTTTGTAAGCTGATCTTCTTGTCTGCCAGCAAAAAGGAAGAGTGATCAAAACCATCATAAATAGTTGTGGTTGSTAGTTCTCTTTCCTTTTGAAAATGGTGGTACGATGAAATGAATATTGTTGCTCTGTGAGTGTTTGTGTAAGAGGAAATTTCGGTTTGGAGAAGTTGTTGCACTAGATACCTGCTTTTATTCAACCTCTTCTGAATGCCAGTGATCCTTCTCTTCCTTCCCTTTTTCCTTCTTTCAGTTGAGGATATTTTTCAGCATGCTGGTTCCCAGCAGGGTGACACCAGCCATTTTCAAGAACCATGGGTTCTCTAACTGCATATTTGCATCTTAAGGTGCMTGAATACTTTTGAAAAATCTCAACAGCTCCCTTTTGTGGGGATACTTRATCTGCTGATTTGTGTTTTGTTGATATTTCTCATTTCAGTTTGTCCAGTGATATTTTGTTGAGAAGATGAGGTATAAACAGGCCTATTTCTCATTGTTCACCACCTTCAGTGTTTAGAACTGGTGAGGGCCRGATGTTCTCTGTGAAAAGAACATTGGCAGAATGGTATATCTCAGTGTTTCTTCTCATTTCTCTGTGTCATCTCATCTCATTTTGTTTTCTGAAGACTAGATACTGCTTTGCTTAATGTTATCTATACCATGTCTTCCAATATTTAMCAGACAGTTTCCACTAAAATTATTGGGAACCTATAAACTCATTATTAAATATTTTTGTGGCATAAAAWAGTTGCAGAGTTTCCTTTTTATGGCATAGAAAACCCTGAAAATATTATTTTCTTGGTCTGACTAAAATTCTATTATCTTTTATCAGACTTGCAATCCAGCCATCATCTGAAGATCGTCCTCAAATTCATGTGAGCTTCGATTTCTTGACTTATGCTCATTTTTGGACTCAAATTTGTCTTTTCTAATTCTGCTTTTTACTATGAATTCTAGATAGCTTTCTTCATCAGTTTATTGGAAAGAATTGTCCTGAATGATATATTTTTTTTAAGACTAAAAGAAATTGTGTCCTTTGTCCTTTAATACTACCCAGGAGATAGTGCATGTTACTATTGTTTGAGATATAGTGCTGCTTTGTAATAATTTGCACATTTTGTGTGTGGATTTGGTTATTGAATGGTATCCTTTATGACTACATTCAGTTAAATATTGCAAGTTTATTGTGTGATCATATTTGTTTAGCTTAATGTGAATATGTTGGAAAATCAAGAACAGTAGCTTGATAAAGCACTGACCTAAAAAACTAATTTTTCATAGAATTAATACCTTTTGCATATTTCTGATGARCAATGGTTTCAGCAATGAACAATGGTTTCAGCCATGAACTTGTCAGAGTGAGAGGTAGAAGTCTGTGTTCATTAACTCAAGAAAATAAAAATAAGACTATAGAGAGTAAGGAACAAGAGAACTGACATGAAAGGGTAGCAGAATGAAAAATTTCAGGGACTTAAGTGACTTGTAAGGTTAGACATGATTAATCTCATCAAGAGATTGTGAAAAAGCTGTTTCATCATTCTGCTCCTCACTCATCACAAGTTTCTCAAAGAGAAGAAAGGTTAATCTGGTTGGGCAGTGGAAGGCACTGTACTGCASCTCTGGACCTAAAATGTTATTGGGTAGAGAAGGGACAAAGCATTGGAAAAAATGGATCTAAATATGAACATGGTTTCAGTGTTGCATCTCTTGTTAAAGATAGAAAATTTCTGATTTGCAGAAATTTWAAAAAACTTTAATTAACTTTAAAAACTTTAAAAAACTTTAACAATTTTTCTTAATTTGATTAACTAACATTTTCTTCATTTTGAGAGCTAGTTTGATCCCTTGTTTTTCATTTTTCACTGTCATTGTTTTGYAGATGCTTTTTCAGAAAGTGTATATATGAACCAAATTTTTTACTTTGTCTAGTAGTTACCATTCTTGTCAGGTCTCTTTGATGATGTTACTGTAATGGCTAAAAAATAATATGGTGAATGTTTACAAAATTCTGGAAGTTTCTTCTTATAAATTTCACATTTAAACCTGCTACATTTATAAAAACGAATATGTTGCAACTTCTAACTTATCAGCACATTTCCTTAAAGATAGTGGGATTGCATTGGAACAAGACCCTATCTAAATATGTCAAATTGCATAATCTTCTCTTTCTAACTCTCTATATGCACCAAAGCATGCAATATTTATACCTGTTGAAAATAAAATTGGAATGCATATTTGTAGACATTATTTTTTTCTATATATTTTGTAAATTTACAGTGTCCAGATAAATTGGTATTGATTTTCATTCTGGAAACTAGAATTGTAACTATTAATGTGACTATATTTGCTTATGCAAGACCTCAGTGCCAGGTTTTACTATTAAGATTAGGTAAAGTACATGTTGGCTACATTTTGACTATTAGGTTTTAGAACAGTTTAAACATGTAAGTAAACAAGCCACAGTATATATAGGCAGTCCAGGTTTTTTTGATAGGTCATCTGTGTAAGTCAGCTACAAATCACCTTTTTGTTTCAGTCATCTTGTTGCTACTATTTATGTTATGAAAGTTCTATTAAAATATATTTAAAGTGTTTTCATACTTTTTATTGCTGGATAATTCAGATCCCATTATTGACACTGTTTTGTGATTTATTTTTAGCTTTTTTTTAATTCAGAAATGTCTTCTAAATTTAGGGAGGCATAAAGTTGACAAAAGGCTACATATGATTTTCTAACCCTCTTCCAATTGCCTCACACTTTGTCCAGAGTGTAAAATTATGTAGCAGAGCATAAAATATGGATTAAGCAAGATTCAATCATCCTGAAAGAGGCACTGCTTTGTTTTGGTTTACTCCCATTATTTTTTTTTTTTTTTTTTTTTTTTCCTCCCCTCTATGTGTCCGTGTTTTTTCCCCCCTGCTTTTAAGCAAAATTATGTGATTTATCACAGTGCTTTACTTTGGATTCTAGCTCACTGAAATAATTCAACACATAGCTCTTTTTTATAGTGCTTTTATTTCAGCAAGGCATTTTTTCTTTTTTCACAATAGAATGCTGTTTGGACGCTTGAAAATTCAAATGGAAAGGGGAATTTTACCTGAAGTAKTTTTTTACCAACTTTTCTAAGTAGAACATACTATTTGTAGAATTYCGGCAGTCTATGTACATTTTATATATATTGTATGCACTTGCTTGTGCAAACACAACCTTTTGTATGTTTTGCTTACAATATTAATGCAACACTATCACATGTTATCTGGGTCACATCACTTATATGTTCTGAGTAGTTGCTGCTTTATGGCCAGGCTTCTACATTTGTTCATCTCATTGCAGTTTGAAAGATGATAGATATCCAGAGCTCAAAGCAGAGAAACAAACCACTGCTGAAATCTGCAGTAAAACCAATCTGTCTGATTAAAGGCTAACCAAAAAGTGAACATCTCTAGAAAAACCTAGAGAAGATGGAGAGAGAGAGAGAAGAACAAGCAGTTCTTCTGCTTGCAGAACAAGCAACAAGTTTTAGATTGACATAGCAAGGGTTGTAGAAATAATCACTAACCACAGTATGCTATAGTTAGTACAACTTTAATTTGATTGATTGTTAAGTATTTTGGGAAGAGTGTAGTCTGATTTGCCATCAGATTCATGAGTATATAGTTAGTGAATTTTATGGCAATATCTTTGTTACCACTGAGCACATGTCTACTGTCTAATAACAGCCACCAAATACTATTTGATGCTTCCAGCTAATTTGGACAGTATGTTGAAAGGCTAAGGCACACATTAACATGTTTTAACACAACCTCAGTGCAGCTATGCGATTTTTTTCATTGTATCTAACTCACATATAAGTAGATTTGGGTTGAATTTGCAAAGCTTTCTTC